GAGGGCAGGATCCATTTAGCTTCACCATTTACATTTTTTCCAGAGCCCAGAATAGTATGTGGAAAACAGCAATCCGTGCTGGAGTGATCAAGTCTAGTCTTTTGAGTGATCAAGTCTAGTGTTCTGGAACACAAGTTTCCTAGGATGATTTAGGTACTGTACACCAGAAAGTTTCCATGGTCAAATAGGTACGGAGAAGGCCAGCCTGTGTGAGATCTCTCAGAGCCTTCACCACATGGTGACTCACCAAGGAGGAGATTGAGTATGCGTGGTCTCTCCAGGGGAATTGACTATGGGATAGCTTTCTCATGGAGAACGCTGAGGGGCTAAAAGGTTGAGGAATGCATTTTGGAAACCCTAAAGCAGAAACACCTTTATTTCACAAGGAAAGCATAATCCAGTGCCTTTCTGGAGGTCTACCAGCTGGTTGGAGGCAGAGGTGAGACCTAAGATTGAAAGCCCTCGAAGGCATACCTTGGGTGACCTCAGGGGTCCTCAGACAGTCTGTGAACTGTGGTTGGAAAGGCAGCAGTTTGAGGAATCACAAGACCTGAGCTCCAATCCGGATTTTCCTCTTACTACCTGGGTCACTATAAGCAAACCCTCCAGCCACTCTCATTCTCAGTCTACGTTTCTCACCTTCAAAATGTAGCTGATAATGCCTATCTCACATGGTACTGTGACGTCTGAAGGGTCTGAACAGATAACGAAGCTCCATAAATGGCTGCTGTGGCAGCCAACAGCATTCTCCAGACTTCTGGAAAGATCCCGCAGATGTTGGAGGTAAACACTGAAGAAGAGTTAACAGCACTCTGGGTACACACACCAGTGGTACACAGAGGGATAGCCAGGGAAGGCTCCCCAGGGACGAGTATGACCTCTCCAGCCCGATATTACCAGTAGGACAAGGGTTTGGTTCATTCTGGAATCTTCCTGCCTGCCCCTGGGGACTAATGCATGAAACAATATCCTAACATCCCTCAGTCCTCGAAACCAGCTTCCTTCTCCATCCTGGAGGCCATCTTTCCATGTTCCTCCACACCCCAGAGTGGGCAGCAGTGCAGCTGGACCTGCGCATTCTTCTCTTCCTCCTCAGTCCATCAGGACCTGGCCTCTGTCCATCTCTTTGCCTCTTCTCCCTCCGCTCTCTCTGTCGCTCTCTGCCTTACTGACCCTGACCCTCTGTCACTTCCCAGCATGCTCCAGGTTCCTCCCTCCCACCTGAGGGCCTTTGCTCTCATGTTCTTTTCTCCATCTAGAAGCCTTTCTTTCTCTCTGTGGTTGAACTCTCCCTCAGATCTCATCTCTAATGTCCCCACCTTAAGAGAAGACTTCCTCTCAACATCACCACTAGTCCCTCCACTCTTATCCACTCCCATTGTTTCCTCTCCTTTTTCTTCATACTAAACACTGTTAGCAATGATATATTTATGTGATTTGTAAAAAATATCATCTGCCTCCATTGTAGAAGGCAAGCTTCATGAGGTTTGCTCTGCTGACCTTTGTGTCCCTGGGGTGTAAGCAGTGCTGGCCACGAGAGCAGCTGCCCCTCAAATATTCAGTGAACTGCATGTGCGTGATGTATCGTCCAGACAACATTTCTAGTTTGTTTTTGGGGATCCATGGGCCCCACAATTTTCTGAATAAGATTGTTCCCTCCATGGGGCTGGGAGGTTTGCCAAGCCTGCTTCTCAGAGGAAAGGGCTGGGGTTTGAGCCTTGCTGTGTGGACGGCCAGGCAGAGGAGCATTACAGGAGGCCCCTCCCCCAATGGGTGTCCATCTCTAAAGTGGTCCCTTCAGGGTCTCCTAAATTCTTCTAGCCTTCCACAGAGCATTTTCTGAACACTGACTCATTGCATTCTTTGGATTCTGCAAATTTGGAAGAACTCACGTCTTCCGTTTTGCATTGGTTGCTGGGAAGCTCAGGTTGAATCTGCAGTCACCTCTCATAATCAAATGATAGCTAAAAGCTTGCAGATTTCCTCTTACTCACACCCAGGGTTCATTTTCCTTTCTAGCCCCATTTTCCTCTTGTCCCAATTTCTTGCTGTATTCATTTTGTGTCTTGGTGAATGTGTGTAACTTGGTCAGCCACATCAAATCCTTTCTGTAGCGATTGAGGTACTCTGTAATTGAGGTGAAATTTAAGTAACATAAAGTTAACCATTTAAATCCAGTGGCATTTAGTTCATTCACAGTGTTGTGCAACCATCACCTCAAGCTAGTTTCGAAACATTTTCATCACTCCCAAAGAAATCTTCACACCCTTTAAGGTCACTGTGTGAGTCACGCCTCGCCCCTTTCCCTCCAACCCCTGGCAAGCACCCATCTGCTTGCTGTCTCTATGAATTTGCCTATTCTGGAGATTTTTTGTGAATGGAGTCATACAATATGTGACCATTTGTGTCCGGCTTCTTCCACTTGCATGTTTCAAGTTCGTCCATGTTGTGGCATGTATCAGTACCTCACTCCTTTCATGGGTTGTTTCGATAGATTGATAAATTAGAAATGTGGGTCAGCAGAGGCTGGGGGCATTTAAGTCACTCTAACACATGAAAGGAGGACAATCTCCCCCAGTCTCTCTAGCGAACGCAATAGATTCCCACCAAGGAACCGATGTAGTCTGGACGTTCCAGTATTACATTCCAGAGGTCTTGGGACCTGGGCACCGGCTGCTTCTCTCCAGAGATATTCTCCCAGAATAGACAGAGGTGTCAGTCAGCATTAAAATAACCTTGGCAGAAATCCCCATGCCAGAAAGATAGCCACAAACATAAGCGCCAAGGTACGTGGTGGCAGGAAGGGGGTTCTAAATTAAGTCTTGGGCTGTGAGTTATATTGACTTGGGTGTGGTGGGGCTGACTGGTCGGTTCTGCCCCTTTGCTGCATGTCCCTGGTTTGGCAGGTGGTGGGTGAGAAGGACCTTGTAAAGGCTAAGACGGAAACGCTGCCAAGAAATGTGGGATGACTTCCAGCACTAAGGCGCTCCATCCAGGCCAGAAAGGAATGGAGAGGGGAAAAATAAAGGAAGGCAAATGGATTTCAGCTTCTTGAATGGGACTTAGAAAAGCAAATCTAATGGCCGCTCAGCTCATGGAAAGGGGCTGCGTTACTGCATTGCTTGATTATTGACATCAGAGGTGACCAGAGAGATAACGGGACTGAGTGAGATGAAAATGACAGCAGAAACCACTGTGGGCCGAATCTCATTTCCTTCTGTGATATACAATGAGGCTCTTCTTTTTCAGTCTTATAACAATGTGAAAATGATGGTTTGGGCATTTTGGGGAGACTTTGGGCTAAGAGGAACCTGGGAACAGATTCCAGCCATGTCATCTCTAGTTAGATCAACTTGCAGATTTCTTCTCTGACTCTTAGTCTTTTCATCTTAAAAATTGGAGTGATAGCTTGGTTATCTCAAAGAATACTCTAGATCAAATCTGATAGTGCGGCCGAGAAGCCTGGCATTGCAGAAGGTGTTCCTCAAAAGTTTGCTCTTTTCTCCCTTCTTCCTTTTCTAAATCTTAGGAAAGACTCAGATCTTTATGTGACTATAGCTGTCAGTGATGTAACGTGAGACCCAACGCAGCGAGAAAGCAAAGGGATAAAACATAGTTTTAGTTGAGAAGACTTCGAGAATTCAAGTTGGAGGAGATAAGATAGATCCACGTGAGAAGAAATTTCAGAATAACCCCAAACAGTCATAACAAATGTCAAGTGGCGCGTGCCCCCCTTTATAGCCAGCTGATGGCATCTCCTCTGGAGAACCTCATCTGAAGCCACAGTGGGTGAACGCCATTCCACAACATTCTCCAGTCCGACACTGACATGCCATGTCAAATGATCTGTTTGTGGGTCTTGGCCTCCTTCCTCCAACCGACTGTGAAAACTGCCTGGCCCATAAACGCTTTTTTAATACTATAAATTAGCATTTAACAAGTACTTACTACATGAGAGGGCCTGTGCTCAACTCTTCGTACTGACCATCTCCTTTTTTCATTACCACAACCCTAGAAAATAAGTCATTGTATTATTCCTGACTAATAGAGAGAGATATAAGACTCAGGCAGAACACACTTGCCCAAGGTCACCGGGGTAGCAAGTGACGGAGCTGGCCTTGACTGACCAGCTGGACTTCAAGTTCCTGCTCTGAGTCCCAGGCCCAGCTGGCTCCGTGGCCTTCAGCGCTCACGCCTCCCGGTGCGGCAGGAAGGGAAGCAGGGGTCAGCGTGGGCCTGACTGGCTGCTGAGGGAGGCCCCAAGAAGACATGGTGACATCACTGGGCGTATTTGCACCGGAGGCCTGGGTGACCACAGAAGACGAGGAGACCGAAAGCTTTCTAGTGACACACATTGTAATAAGCTTTGAGAGCAGTGGGAGTGGGCGGCAGGAGGAGGAAGACTGAGGAAGCTTCTGTGGATGGGAAGCAGCACCCCCAGAGAAACCATTGCTCCATCACACAAGCTGGGGAGATGGGCTTTGTGCAAGCTCGGCAGCTAAGGGTGGGCATGACAGGGAGAAGGAAAGTGGCCTGCTACTTGGAAAGAAAGTGTGAGAACAGGGTGCTTGGGAGGGGACGTCATCTCTTGGAGCCATAGCTGCATTTGAGAGCCAGGTCAGCCACTTACTAGCTGGTGACTAAGAAAGTCACCTTTCCTCTCTGCGCTGCAGGTTTCTTACCTATAAAATAAGGACAATAGTAGCCACCCAATGGGATTATCCCAGGATTAGAGATAATGCATGCGACATAATCAGCACAGTGCTCCCCCCGTGGATGTCAATGTTCGCTCTCCCTGTGATGGTAGCAGTAAGGAGTGGTATTAATATGTGTGTCTCTGTTGGCAGAGGATTAGTGTAAACCTTGGTTTCCTTTGAATGGCCTTGCCAGTGACGGTGAAAATCAAGAATGTCTATTTCTTTTGTTAAAGCTTTAGAATCAACTATAGAATGGAGAGTGAAGAAAGTTGGTGTGTTGGGGTGTGTGTGTGTGTGTCTGTGTGTGTGTGTTGTGGAGTTGTGCGTAGTCTGAAGCATGCCAGAAGAACAGATAACGCTGCAGGCCAGGGGTGCCGCGGGCTGCGCGAGCACCAAGGAGGGGATTATTAACTCTCTTAAGGAGTAGAGCAGGCTTTCAGAGGCTGTGACATCTGCATTAGCTCCTGGCAGACGGGAAGAAGTCCCCCGGGTAAAGAAGAGAGAGCTATGCGGAGGCATGGAGTCTTGGTGAAGCTTGCCTTCTTCAAGGAACGAGTTCAGAGGGAGCAGAGGCAGGGAGGTTGGAGGAGGTGGCAGGACACCTGGAAGCAAAAGTGGGTCCTCTCCGTTCTTCAGCCCAAGCCGGAGTCTGACTTCCCACCCCAAGGAGCCCCGGACACTCCGCCATGTTGGCCTCCCCCTACCCACCACGCCACGTGGCAGCTCTGTGTTCAAACAGCCACGTGTTCCTGGCTGTGTGTCTGCCCCAGGGACCTCAGAGGGGAGGACACACAGGTGAGTGAAGCAGGAAGGAGCCAGGCAGGGACTCAGGGGAGGGTGCGAGAAGACGACACTCTTTGAGATGCTGGGCCTTCGACGGCCTCCGCAGCTTGTGCTGTGAGCCCTGCCAGGGTGGCCGCTGACAGTCTGCAATGTCTCTGTGGCCACGGGCCATGGAAATCGAGGGCGGAGATAGTTCTTGGCGAGGCACACCATGGTCTGGTACATCTCATAATTTCCTTTGGAGGCCTCCCTGGGTGTGCTATCGGTCACAGACAAAGATGTCCACGGGGGCTCCCATCACCTCTGACTTGTTTTCCCAAAAGTGCGGCTGGATCTTCTCAGTGCCATCTGCACTATCTCACTGGCCACCCCACCCGCCATCTGTTTACAGGCTGTCAGACAGCTGGCTGGGGTGAGGGGGACACTGTGTGACCACAGAATGCATAACATTGACTGCCTCCAAACAGAGGACCCTGGGGCCTTTACCTTGCTTGCCCTGGGATCCCAGCTGAAAGATGGATGTCAGGTTAGCATCTGCCGTGAGCTTCGCCTATGCTGACAACAATGACAATAATAATACCAGTGATTAACTGAGGGCTTATTAGGTACCAGGTACTGTACAGACACCTCATCGAATCCTTGCAGCAAGCCTGCAAGATGAGGGCGGGTTATCAGTCTCTTACTCCTGAGGAGGAAGCTGAGGCTCAGGGAAGTCATGTAATGGCCCAAGGGTCCATAGCCGAGTGACAGAGCTGGAAGTGAGCCCCAGAAGCACAGGACCTCCAAGCAGAAGGAGCTCCTTCCTCCTGGCATTCAAGGCTCTTCGGGTCATGTACTGATCTACTTGTCTGGCCCCACGCAGATGCTGCCCTGCCCACTGACCCATGGCACAGCTGCTGGCCATTCCTGATGCCTCATCAGCTTTCCAGGTTCCACTCCTTTGTCCCCCCCCCCCCCCCCCCGCAAGTTTCCTCTGCCAGGATCCCTGGGAGCATCTCAGAGGGACCCACCTGGTCCAAGGAGTCAGGGAAGATTTTCTCTTGCTGGCATTTCTGACGTCCAGCACTGCAGAGTCGATGATGACACTTTTTGTTCTAAAGATACCTCCTGCTCATTGTTAGATCCCAGAGTACACAAGTGCATAAAGTCCAGTCTCATTTCCCTCGAACATCTCCACCCCCAAACTCCCCTCCCAGAGAAAGCCGCTGGGTGGTTGGTGGGGGTCCTCAGGTGTTCCCATGCCTGCGAAAAGATGCATATGTAATTGGTCCAGCCATGCTTCTGGTGGCTGTTCTCCGTTTGCCTCCCCTCCTCCAGCCCTACAGCTCTTCTTTACCCTTCTCTGCCCTGCTCTGTGTCTGGGAGGCTGACCTCGCAATGGCAGCGTCCTGGCTCCCATGGTCTCTGGCTTCCAGTGGGGCTGGCCAGTGGGAAGCACTGGCAGGAGATGGAAGGGCGGGAGGACAAGGACGAAGGACGCTGAGGGGTTTCCTCCTCCTCCCCTCCTACTTCTGCCCTGCACCCCTGTAGTTCTCCAAGTGGCTGGACTCCCTGAGGCTGCAGGCCCTGTTGGGTCTTTTCACAGTCCAACTCCCTCTGGACTCCAGTAATCTTGTCCCTCCCTTTGTCCCCTCAGGCCGAGGCAGGGCAGTGACTTCCTGCTGTTGCTGCTCCCTGGGTGCTTCACAACCCTTGTCGGCTCCCTTACCCCTCACCCCAGCACTGGACCAGGCCCATCCCAACACCATTTTCACACCTTTGTACACTTTTGAGTGTGCCGTCTGCTTGCTGTTGGAACCCTGTGACACACCTACCATTCTGGAATGCTCTGCCCTTAGCACTGTATCCTGAGCATCTTTCGGTATCAGGACCTGCATATCTATTCTTAAAGCATGCATGGTGTTTCTTTCTGGGAGAATTATAGCTAGAGTTTGAAACCAAAAAGAAATAGTGACCAGGTGAAGAGATGCATGTGTTGGTAAATGCAAATGGTGGAGAGAGCTGCAGAGGGCAAAAGTGAGTTGCCATGACAGAGATGGACAGGAGGGACCTGCTGGCTGGTCTCCCGTCACGCGGATGGACCAGAGCCGCTGTCACCTGTGTCCTGTTGATGGTCACTTAGGCCTTGTCCACAACTTCACTCTCTCAAACAGTCTGGTCTGTCTGCAACATTCTTGTACCTACATCTTGGTATCTGTGTCCTAAGATGTCTGGAGAGGAATTTCCCTGATGTGGAACTGCAGGAAAGAGATGTGGGTGGATTTAAAATTTGGTAGATTCAATAAATCATGCCCAAGGAGCGACTCTTCCCAGGGAGGCCCATGCGAGAAGAAGCCACAACTTGTTTGCCCTCTAGGGAGCCAGAGGAAGGCTTGTCCAGGAGCGAGCACTTGGTGGGAAGGTCCCCCAGCCTTCCTGGAACCGAGGCCTCATCACAGACTTTGTCTTTTTATTTAAAGTGGTGATAATGCTACTTGCCCACTGTCACTTCCCCTGCCTTCCTCTTTCCTCCAGGGAACCTTGTAATTGATACAAGAATGTTGCAACCAAATACCACAGAGATTTTTAAAAAATGAGATCCAAGAGAAAAGCCTGGAAGCAATTACTACTCACCCTTTCTGGTGATTCAGTTTGAGTAGATGCTTAAAGAGCACCCAATCTGTGCTAGTTCTGTGCTCGTGGTAGGAAGACATGAAGGATGGGACGCAGCCCCTCCGAGGAGCTCACAGTCTGGGGAGGGGAGGGAGGAGTTAATACAATGGTTTCCAAACCTGTCAGGGACCTGTTGCAGCGGAATCATCTAGAAGCTTTGCAAAAACCCAGGTCCCAGGGGCTCACCCTCAGGGCTTTCTGGTTGGCAGGTCTGAGGTGGGGTCTGGGACTCTGCAGTATTAAAAGCCCCCCTGGGTGACTCTGATACTCGGGGTGCTGTGGGCTGTGGCTGTAGCATGTCTCCAGGGGTGCATGATGTGGTCGCTTGGGTAACGTAGAAGTGGCTGAGCTGCATGGCCCAAGGGCCAAACTTGGTATTTTGTGTGACCTGTAATTTGGACTTACATATTTCAAAAAAAAACCCCCAAAATTAAACTAGTTTTCAGCCTCTAAAAATCAGGAGTTATCTCATTAAAATTCAGATTTCATCTCTTTGAAAAATCCTAACAACTTGCTACAGCACGTGGCTTTTTAGATGGGGCATGCATTCTCTAGTTTGACACAGTCCCCAGCACTCCCTAGTGTCTCTCTCTTAACATTGTCAGTTGCCATGTTGTCATTGGATCAACACTGCTCTTTTCTTATGGTAGAACTAAAGGAAAATGAAGTACTTCTTGTCCTCTGAATTATACTAAAAGTTGAAAAATGTAAGACAGACCAAGAAGTCTGTGTGTGTTATTTTTTTAAATGAGAGAGAGTGTATTTCTTTATGGAAGTATTCAATAGGCGCATCAAATGTGTCAAAAGACTATGAGCCCAGCCCATTGTCCTCATTTATACTCCCACCATAACCTTGTGCACCAGTGCCAGGAACACCAGATGGGGAGCCAAGAGCCTGCATTTCTCCTGCCCCTTCAGCCATTACCCCACCATGTCACCTTGGGAGCAGTATTTATTCCTCTTGGCCACGCTGTAAAACAGTGGTTCTCAACTGGGGGAAATTTTGTTTCCCCCCCTAAGGGACAGTCCCCATCTTGAGGTATTTTTGATTGTCACAACTGGAGGGAAGAGTTGCTATTGGCATCTAAGTAAAGGCCAGGGATGCTGCAAAAGATACTACAATGGGCAGAACGAGAGAGAGTTATCCTGCCCAAATGTCAACAGTGTTGGGAGTGAGCAGCTCTGCTATCAATGAGGGAGTTCATCCCTTCTAGCTCTGAGAATCCATAAGGTTACCCTAGGAGAACACATACACAGAGAGACAGTACTCTCAGTTTTGGGGCTGACAAAGCCTCAGGAACAGGTAGAATCTTGGAGGGGAGTAGGATGGGAGGCAGAGAGAGAGAGTGTTCAGGTGAGTGGGAGTTATGGGCAGAGGCAGGGGAAGGCAAGTGCAGAGCATGGTCATGGCTGCAGAGGGGTGAGTGGCCTGGTGTGCCTGGGTGTGGCGGGAGTTGTAGAGAAAGCCTGGAAAAGCTGGGGCCCAACCGTTAGGGACAGTGTTCTCAGTGCGTAGGGTGGGATGAGGTCTGTATAGTTCACAGATATTCTGGCTGTCCTTCCAGGACATGATCGGGTTGTACTTCCTGCCCAGGGGAGGCACAGCTGGCCATGTGACTTGATTTAGCCATTGAATAGTGAGCAGAAGTGGTGAGTATCCACTGTGGGAGGAAGCATTAAAAACCGGGCATTCTGCATATCACTTTCTTCCTCTGGCACAATGACTCTCAACGTTCGGGATGGTGGCTGCTTCATCAGCCTGGAACCCTGAGCAACAAGAATGAGCAGGGACCTGCTGACCCACAGTGGATATGGGCAAGAAGTAACCTTTGTGTTTTGAGCCACTGAAATGTGAGGGTTGCTTGTTGCTGCAGCAGAACGTGGCTATCCTGACTGATTTAGACAGAAATCACTGGTGGTGCTGAGATGACGGTAGAGGGTACACAGAGATGGCGTGAATTATACTACATCCCTCAGGGAGAATCCTCCTTCCTGTCAGGATCACACTACAGAGTGGGTCTCAGTGTGTGCCAGACTGTCTTGAACACCCATTCCATACAGCCTGTGTTCCCTCTTTCACAAAGAGAGAGGGCACAGGCTCAAGTTTTGTCTTTAGCTAAAATTTCATAGAATAGTTTTAAAATTGAATTTAATTTTAGGGTTGGCTTCTATTCCTGGCAAGGGATTATAGCAATATAAGGGTTTTTTTAATGGAAAGCGAAGAAAGTGAATCATTTAAAAAACTTATATAACGCCAATAAAACACAGGTGGTATATACTTATGGCAAAAGTCATAAAGATAGTTGACAAATGACTGCAGTAGGGGGAGTAGAACGCATGGTATATGACAGAATCCCTTGCACAGGTGACCTGTCGAGGCAAAAGCTGTGGCCAGGATAACAAACACAACGCTAATCCTATTTCCAGGCATTCCTCTAACAACAAGGTGAAGCAGCTGTTACGCAATAGAATTCAGAGGGGCACAGAATACAGTCTGACGTCCTCTGTACCACCCCATGCCTGGCGCCCAGTAGGTGCCCGACCAACCTGTGTTGCATGAGCGACTGGTGATTGTGATTTCTGTGCCCTCCTTGGGGAGGGCTGCCATCTTGGGAAGGCTCTGGCTCTGCTCGACATGTTGAAAAGCTCCTGTGAGCACATCAGGCACGTGGGGAGACGCTTCAGAGTGCCACTCACTCTGCAAACAGAGGGGAACAAACTGAGGATCCCTGGGAGGGGAAGGGAAGAAGGAGCCATAGAGGCTGGGGCTGCTGGCTAGGGGGAAAGGGGAGAAATCCCAGGTGATGTGTGTGCATGTGGTGTGTGTGGGGGGTTGTTGGAAAGGACTATGGAGAACTGACATTGTTAATATGAGTTTTTAAACGTTTGCACGAGATGCACAATGGAAACTCCCTCTCCCCCCTACCCCCCAAGAATGGATGAGCCCCACACTGCATTGCGCAGCGAGCTCTGACTCAGCAGAGGAGAAGGGGAGACCGCGGAAATGCTGGGGAGGCTCCAGCTATCCGAAGCCATGGAACTGTGGGTCAGAGGTCGTCTGACCATGATCTCGGGAACTGCTGAGGCTGCAGCTGCCCTCTGGGTACACATGAGTGAGTGAATGAATGAAGCACTTGGGATGTGACAGCCAGAGGCATTTCTTACTGTGTCCACCATGAACGGCGAGAGGCGAATCTTATTTTCCAAGGTAGCTGTAACAGAGTATTCCATCGCACAGGCTCTTCTACAATGTGACTGGACACTCCTCCCGTGAGAGGTGGTGTTTGTGTCCCCTCCCTTACCTTTATGTGGCTTGTGATGGCTCTGACCAGCAGAACAGGGCGAATGGATCCCGGGTAACTTGGAAGGCAGCATCCTGAAGGGCAAGGTGGCTTCCTCCTTGTTGACTGGGACACTTGCACTTGGAGCCCTGTGCTACCACATGAAGGGTATGAGTGCTCTGAAGCTGCCGTGCTGTGAGGAAGCCTAGCCACGTGGAGTGGCCACGTGCTCTGGTCTGCAGGGTTAGTCTTCAAGTCATCCCAATCCATACCTTTAGACGATGCTGTTCCCCAGTTGCAGGTCACCTCTGGGCTTCAAGTCTCTGCAGCTGAGTTCCTAGACATCAAGGAGCTAACCCTGCTGTGCCCTGATTGAATTTCTGACCAAACGAATACAGGAGCCTAGTCAGTGGCGATTTTAAGCTGCTAAATGTTGGGGTATTTTGTTACACAGCAATCAGTGACTGAAACACAGTGACTGAGTCTTCCTCATCTCTGAGTTCTCAGCCCACAGCACTGGGCCCGAAACCAAGAGGGGCTAGATAGGATTAGCTGAGTAAATCAGTGAGGGAAGAACTGAGTTAGCATGTGCCCCTAGGCAGGTCTGCGTTCCTTCTGGAGCCCCCCTTCCATCACCTAATTGTATGTTCACAGGAACAGACAGAGCACCAAAGCTTTTGTGGTGACTGGATGCTCTGGAACCAGGAAACACCACCTCTTTTTCAAAGAGTCTCTGATGTTCTTTCCTTTCTGACAAATTAACTTTTCTGGTTTGATTGGCAGATTTGGTAAGCATAAGATCACGTGCCAGTGCCAGTGGGAAAAGGGAGGGGGGGCAGAAAGGGAATATGCAGGGGAGGGCTTTCACCATCCATCAAGCTGTGTCGTAGCATGTCATTTTCCACCCAAACAGGCAAAGGACAACACTGCATCTTTCAGAGGCAGGCCGCTGGCCACGGTGCACCAAGACGGCTATCGGCTTACTCTCCCCTCTAGCTCCTCACAGCCCTGCTTCTCCTCCCGGCCCAGAGGCTGGGAAGAAATCGCTCCTGCTCCTGGTGGAGTCCACCTCCATTTACGTCCCAGTCCTGGATCGAGGCAGTAGGTTAGCCTAGACTATTTCAAATGCCGTCCAATGCATTTCCTTTGATTCATCCCAAAGCCGCTTTGCAATTGCTGTTGAAAGTTCCAACTGTGAGGGAGGATTTATAAGGAGCCAGGAGTTTGCCTATCTGGACGATACTGGTGGGCAACGTCCAGCTTAGGCAGTTGTCTGCTGGCTGAGCAGGAATCCATTGCCTGCTGGAGGCAGGAGGCCAACTCATTGCAGCCAGCCACGCCTGTGTCCTAACAGCAAAATCAGTGCATCCTGGGTTCTCGAAGCCCTGGGAGGTTTCCCTGACGCGTGACCCAAGAGATGTTGGGAACACTTGCTGCCATGACCTGGCAGGAATCACTGAAAGGCTCGATTGTGCTGTGGGAAAGGGATGGTGCTGTGAGCAATCCACATGGCAAATCAACTGTGAAAGTGCTCTGTCAACTAAAGCCTTGGAAAGGGGGAGTCCAGTTCAGCTACTCCCTTTTACTGGAAGGAAAGTCAGTAAGTTTTGAGTTTCTCAAAGCAGAGAAATATGCAGCTAAGTCATTTCACATAACCTGAAACCTCCATCTTAAGTTACATTTCATGCCCACACATAAAAGTGTGTGAGCTGGTGCCACCTATGGGCGAGTTGTGATGCTGCAGCCCAGCTCTATTAGATGCTCCACATGGATGGACAAAAAGTACCATAACGCCAATAGATAAAAAATGCAGAGGCATTTAAAAAAATATATGACTATAAATATTTGTTGGCATAGTTTGTTTTACAAGGAGGTAATACAAGCTCTTGGAACTGGAGGCTGAAATCATTAAATTGTATGCAAAAAGATGGAGAAAATTATGTTATAGGAGTTCCTCTTGGAAAAAGTTCTGTGTGTAGAGGAAAGGGATTCTGTGCTAAGTCTCTTTGGTTGTGGAGTAAGGCCCCAGGGGCCATGCTCCAGGAAGAGTGGACGGTCTCTACACTGCCTGCTGGGGAGGGTGGAGCCTGTCAGCTGCTATGGTTGGCCTGGCTGGGGCAGACATGTTGGAGGGCACAGCTGCATTGCTTGACCCAACAGAAAGGAATGGAGCATCTGCAGGGGAGTTTGGAAGAGGAAGACTACCAGGGGCAGCATGGGAGAATGGAAACTCGGGGGATGGGCATGCAGAGGAGGTGTGTTGCAAGGGGTGCTGGGTACCATCTCTCCTGCGTTTCCCCCATGGGAAATCTGTTTGGGTTTTGTTGTGGAGAATGCATAAGGGGTGAGAGCCTGGGGTGACCTGGGTTCTAAATAGAATCTTGGAGTTGAAAGAGATTTTAAGAAGTCACCAAACCCATTCCCACCCAAAGTGGAAGCCCCTCCCCCAACACCCCTGGGAGGTGCCACCAGCCTGGTCCAAACACATCTGGGACAGCGGCTCCCTTCTTGAGGAGGCAGGCAGGGTCAGGGAGGAACTTCCTGTCTTTGGTTTGCTGTCTCTGTTTGGTTCGGAGGAACTATAAATAACGAAGTGGCTACATTTCACGGTGGGGAGAGGGGGCATAACAGCAAAGTCACAACAGCTACTGGGTAGAGTGTTTCTACTGGCGCCAAGCACTTAACTTACACTGTCTCGTTACAGCCTTATGGGGAAGTCTTTCCTCCTGCTTTGGAGGGAAAGAAACGGAGGTCTCGCCAACACCGCTGATTCGCCTGAAGTCACACAGCTTGTCTGAGGAGAAGCAGGGGTTTGCACTCAGGTGCCTTGAGCTTTTCCCTGTCCCCGTTTCTTCCCTGTTGGCTTTACCGGGAGAATCACCCTCTGACAACGTTTCTGAGAGGGCGTTTGAAATGGGCTCAGCGTCGCGTCTGACTGTGGCCTCTGCACCTTAAGAGGAACAAAGAGAATTTCCAAAGTGGTCAAGTAAGTTACAAAGGAAACCTGGAGAATAAATGATCTCTGAGGAATGTTTAGAGGAACTAGGATGATTTCATTTGGAGAAGGCTGATTATATAATGGGTCTTCAGGTTTATGAAAGATTGTTAGAGACGGTGGCCACCAGCTGTTCCTCATCTCCACTCTGGACCGGAGAGGAGGAAATTGGCTTAAGCCGCAGCCTGAGGGTGTCTATATGGAAGAATTTCCTGACGCTGGAATGGGCAGGAAAAAAAAAAAGCAGGCCCTTTTTCTGAGGACACCAAATGGAGACCAGAGTCGTCTCGGTGTGTGTGGGCTTTTTAGCAGCCAATTAATCGGGCTCACTGGGCGTGTGCCTTGGGATTTTGTCTCTAGAAGCTCTCCGGGTTGCAGGGGAACGTTGCAGGACCCTCTCTGACAATAGCCCCAATGGAGCTATGCCCCCATGATAGCCCAGTACCCCTTCCTAATGACAGACCGTGCCGAGCACCAGGGCATGTGCGTACGTGCACGCCAGCGCTCTGCCCCTGGCCTTTGCTAGCCCCTAACCCTGGGGCTAAGGGTGTCTCCTGGGTTTCTGGGGAGGGAGCAATGAATCATCTACGAGTAGGTCTAGCAGAGTGCCTGGCACGTAGTTGGCGCTCAGTGAATCATAGTCCTCTGCTCCCACCACCCAAATCTCTAGAACTTATGTGAAGTCTAAATAAGCTCCGTTTTTTGACAGTAAAATTATTTGATTTTGAGTTAAGTTCCACAAGGTTCAACAAGGTTAAGGTCTGCAAGGTTCAAGGGGTACAACTTAAATCTGTGCTCTGGGGATTTGCTGAGTGAGTTCATCTCCAAACCCGCATCTACTGCAGACCGTGGATCTCCGCTCTCAGCCCAAAGTGTCTGGGTGCTGGCAGAGCTCCCTCGCCCGCCACTCCCGTCAGTCCAGCCAACCAGTCCCCTCCGGGTCTCGAGTCCTCCTTAGACACCTGGGAGGCCCCAAGTTATCTTACATCATGCTGGCTTCCACCCCAGTTCCTCCACGGACTTGCCCTGTGACAAGTGGCCTCGGATAAGTCGTTAACCTTCCGGCACCTCGGTTTCCTCATCTGTGAGGTGGGAAGGACAGTCGTGCAGCCCTGCGGTATGGATGGAAGCAGATAAGGTGTGGAAGGCACCCGACACAAGGCCTCGTGTGCAACTGCCAAATGAATGTTGAGACGAGGGCCATGTTTGGGGATTGTTTCCAACTCTCGGCCATACCTGAACCTCTTAGGATCACTTCCTGGGTCCATCAGACTCTGGAGATTTATCAGACAACCTGAATTGGCCTGTGGAGGGACCCTCTTCTCTGCCCAAGTCCTTTCTCTGACCAGACAGATGGAACGTCCTCCCCGTTGGCAGAAGCGTTACAAAGGGAGCGTCTGCAACCTCCTCTGCGGCCTTAGTTTCCCTGGAGCAGCTAATCTGATTGGCCAGCGCTGGCGCCAGGAGGCGGGGGCACGGATGTCTTACTGCGCAGGCGTGTGGCTGGCCTCTGGCTGGCCGTCTTTTCTGCAGACTTCTTTCTCGCCCAAGGTGCCTTCAGAGTCCCGCACCCATTCTTCCAGGACACCCAGTCTTCCAGGAAGCCAGCCTTTGAGGGCTGAATAGATGCTTCCGAATTAGCCAGTAATTAAGCCAGAGTTCCTCAGATTCGGCACTATTGACATTTCGGGTGAGAAAATTCTTTCTTGCATACTTTGTAGGATGTTTAAGCAGCATCCCTGGCCCCAACTATTAGATGCCAGTAGCATTCCCCACCTCAGCTGTCACAGCCAAAAATGTTTCCAGACATTGCCAAACGTCCCCTGGGGGGCTGAGTGCCGCTGAATGAAGCTGAGGCTGTGATCCGCGTGTAGGAAGCGAGCCTCAATCAGAGGTTTGGGTAGTGAGTCGTATCAGACCTCAAAGGAGAGAGAAGGGAATTCTTTTCCACTAACCCTTAAACTCTTCAATTGTGCTGCTGGGTGGCTAAGTGAGAGGCCTTCTTTAGTTTCTTTATAGCGAGAGAGAAACAGAGCAAGAAATAGAGAGTGAAAGGGAGAGAGGCAGAAAGGGAAACTGAGGCAGGAGCCAGCAGCAAGTGACTTCCATGAAATTCCCAAGGGCACTCGGTGTGCAGGAACAGAGGAGCCAGCAGGGCGGGGCTGTGGGGGCCGCCCTGGGCCTGGGTAAATATGCTCTGTGGAGAGGACGGGCTGGCAAGTAAATATAGTGACCATCTCCACAGCAGTTCCTGGGGCGGCTGAAGTGCGGGGAAGGACACACAGCCCATTGTACAGAAACCACATTTTTTCCCTCCCTCTGTCTCCTTATCCAGCCGGTCTCTGCAACTGCCCTGGCCAGTGCTCCCCTGTCCAGACCTCTGCCCTGGGTCATCCCCCGCCACCAGCCGCCCCAGTCAGTCCCAGGTACTCAGTGCCGGGGCTGGAACCGAGGCCATGGAGATGGAGGCAAAGGAAACGAGCCTCCCCCGTCCTGGGCCGCTGAAAATAATCACGGCCTTTTCAAAGGCCGACTTCCCCTGGTGCCAAGGCAAGAACTGTCTGTCTTGCCACCTTTCAGTTCTTGTTAAAAAGCAGAAGGCATGTCAGGGCCGGGCCGGCCCACAGCACAGAGAGGGCTTTCTTCATAGCCCTGGACGGAGCTCAGCGCTCTAATGAAAGCTCTTATTAGCCCCAGCTGGCATGCCATTTTCCTGAGCTGGAATAAAAAATTGCCTCAGTCATCCTTTCCCAGGCTAATTTCAAAAGCATAATTACCATCATCGTAATTGATTACTATTTATTTTGGTCATTAATCGTCATGCAACCCCTTGTTACATGTGGATGAAATGATCCAGTGATATTTACGGCACGTGGCAGCTGTATTTGTTTTCCTTCAGTCCACATGTCTCCCTTGTCCCTTTCAGGGGAACCCCTGGATTTCATGACACCCGGAGAATCCTTCTCTGGCTTTCATGTTCAAGCTGCTAAACTATGGTGACTGATGAGAGTTGGGGTGAAAAGTTGGGGGTTCAAAAAAGATATGGATAGAGTGCCATGGTGGGGTAGCAATATTAAAGGGCAAGGGTGGGGGGACACCCTCCAAACTCGTGTTGGAGATGAGAGGCCAGGGAGGAGGTGGAGGGAGATCAATTGAACGATTATGAGACTGTTGTTTCTTCTCTCTGGCCCCTTGAAGGAGGCGGTTACCAAGCATCAGTGAGCAGTTAATTTGGGAAGAGAACTGATATTTTCTGCCTTCAAGACAGCTTAGACGGCGCCTGCAAGTAACTGCAGGAGGATCATAATGTGCCCCATAATAATGACAATGTGCATACAGCTCCCACTTTGCCCGAGCTCTTAAGGTCCAGTCAAATGCAATTCCCGCAGATTAGTTTAATGCACACCCACTCTTGAGACAGAGCAATGTTTCGTCCCCATCGTCCCACCTACTATTAGGTATTCAGCTCTCCTGAAAAATCTGGAGGTTAGGACAATAAAGACAAGTGAGCAGAGGCTAAAAGCCTTAAATTCCACAAAGGTGGTGCTCTTACACCTGCTGCCTCCTACTGGGCAGCCGAGCTGGGTCCAGGTGGGACCTGACTCTGGCTGAGGCACAGGCAGCGCTTGCCTCTGAGCCATCTACCCCCTTGATTGGCGGAAGGATGGGTGCCAAGTTCAAACAGGCCAATCAGAGTTCTTCCCTAGAAGTTTTGAAGCTGGGACCAATAACAGCATGAGTCAGTCCCTCCTTCGTGCTGGAAGTAAGGAATCGTTCATGGACAATGTTTCATTCACCTCATGGATGAAACCAGCCCACAGTGGGAGGGATTTAGTCAATACTCAGAGAGAAGCTCGTTTCAGAGATGGAGGGTGAGTCCTGGTGGGCATTTAAGACCCCGCTTCCAGTTATTCCTAAAACATGGAAGAGGGACACTGAGAAGAGCTCAACAAGTTGTGCCCTGCATAACTCCAGCAAGTGCCATTTGTATGGTCACCTTGTGATAGTGGCCCCTGGGGTTGTGCAGTGTGCAGCTTGCACAACTGTACGTGGTGACCCCATCTGGCAGCAATCCCTACCCTGTCTTCAGCTTACTTGGAGATACTCCAATACACTGTTATTAAACTCTCCTTTTTGCCAAATCCAGTTGGAATTGGATTTATGCCACTTAAATCAAATGAGAGCTAAATAATATGATAATAGATATCCCGAACCACAAAGAAAAAAAAAGATGTCACCTCCTTCCCCCCAGCTTATTCTGGATAGCAGGAAGGAAGTACCTGTTTTTCTTAGCTATTAACTCTGAATTTACCAGACCTTCAGGGAGTCAGGGAGGGGGAAAAGAAGAGTAAACCTAATTTGCACCCCGACCCCAGCCTCAGTCCTGGGGTGCCAGGCCCCGCAGAGCTGCCAGGCCATGCAGAAGGCGGGTGAATGCAAACCATTTCCAGAAGGCCTTTGAGCTGGCTGCGTGGGAACAGCTGCACGGCTCCCTGATGGGTGTCCGTGTCAACGCGGACTCAACATTTTCCAGGGGAATGGGACTGAGAGAACGTCGTGCTCCGGCCAGATGCAGCTCCAGAGGGTGGGGAGACGCCAAGGAGGAGGGAAGGCGGCCAGGCAGAACGGCAGCCCTACCCACCCGGGGGAGAGAGAATGAGGAAGAGTCTTGAAGAAGCTTTAAATTCATAGCTCCTGCATTCCACCCTTCGAGGGCTTTCTGGGTCTCCGTGGTGAAATATGTAGAAGCTTGATTTCAAGAATGAACAATAATCAAAGGATTTTTTCAGGGGTGGGAGGAGGAGGAACCCTGGCAGAGTTCTTAGTGAGAAGGCAGAGGGAAGAGAATTCAAACAATCCCCAGGAATGTAAATAAGTGCTGTACAAAGAGACGTGGGTGGTGCAATGGGATTAACGTGGATTTTGCAATCAGCCTGATCTGGGGTCACGTCCCGGCTCCGTGGGAGCATAGAGTAGCCACGTCAATTCTGGAAGCCTCGTTTCCTCGTCAAAAATAGGGATAATAGTGGGGTCCGGCCCCGTGGCCAAGTGGTTAAGTCCGCGCGCTCCACTTCAGCGGCCCAGGGTTTCGCCGGTTTGGATCCTGGGCACGGACGTGGCACCACTCATAGGGCCATACTGAGGTGGCATCCCACATGCCACAACTAGAAGGACCCACAACTAAAAAAATATATATATACAACTATGTACTGGGGGGCTTTGGGGAGGAAAAGGAAAAATAAAAAATCTTTAAAAAAAAAAAAAATAGGGATCATAGTACCTGATTGCGTGTGGGGACGGTACCCGACGCGAACATCAGTATAGCAGAGTGGCCCAGGAAACAGCACAATGCCAGAGTGTGAGTCTTGTTGTTGCTGTTTCTCCCCCTTCCATGTTCTTGACTCC